GCACAGACCTCAATGCCTCCCAGCCCCGTTAACCCCTCACTGCTCCCCAGCCCCGCGCCGGTCGCTGCCTCCCCTTTCCCTCTCCACCTTCCCTGTCCTGCTGCCCTCCGAGTGCCGCACTGTGCCCCCGGTGCCTCACACAGCCCCCAGCGCTGCCCCGATCCTGCAGTGTCCCGCCTCCGCCCGGTCTGAGCTCCCGGTGCCGCCCGCCCCGCGCAGCCGCGGTCGTTGCGGGGCCCGCGCAGGCGCCCGCGGGCCGGAGCGGCGCGGGAGCGGTGCTGGAGGTAACAGGGCCGCCCCGGCCCGGCCCGGCCCCGCGACGGAGGGAGGGCGGCGGGTTGGGCACAGCACGGCCGGCGAGCGCCCCGAGCGGCGCTGTCCCGGGCCCTTTCGGGGAGGCCTCGGTAGCGGCCCCCGGCCAGCCGGGGAGGGGGTGCGACAGCCAGAACGGGCCAGGCCGGACGCTGCTCGGTGCTCGCCGAGCTCTCGTTTGGCCCGCGCCTGGAAGGAGCTTTGCTGCTGCCGCTGGCGTGGCCTGCCCGTGCGAGCGCTCTCCGCGGTGATGGTAGCGCCGTACCGCCTGCCTTTAGCGTGTGTGTCCCGGGCACAGGCCTGTCCCTGCACCGTGCTCCCAGACCCGACTGGGTGATGTGCAGCGGAGCCCTCCAATACAGACTTGTACAGGCCCCTGGGTCCAGCATGCATGTTCCAGCTGGCTCGGGGAGCTCCATCAGCACACAGCCAAGGTGTTGCAACTGAACTCCTGGGGAAAGCTGCCGTTCCTGGGCACTGCTGTCCGTGTTCCTGCCATGCCCATAGCCCATTTGGCAGTCCAAAAATTACTGTGTTCTGCCCTATTGTCTTGTTTCCACACATATGCAGTTTTCCAAAAAGAAAGCAAGCTACATCTCATACTTTACTAGACTTGCTGTATTAGGAACTTGTAACACTAACCATGAGTACAGCCAGTACAAAAGCACATTTTATTGGTTGCACTGCCACGTCATGAGCACTAGATTACAAATCTCTAGCCATAGCATGCCTCAACCACCTCTCCCCAGCTCCTACTTCCCCTCTGTCTCTGCAGGCACATCTGCTGCCATGGTGAATGAGAAGCACAATGGCAACCTGCTTGTGGA